GTGGCACACATATGTAATCCCAGCTATTCAGGAGGCTGAGGCAGGAGAATTGCTTGAACGTGGGAGGCAGAGGTTGCAGTGTGCCGAGATCATGCCACTGCACTCCAGCCTGGGTGACAGGGACAGACTGCGTCTCAAGAAAAAAAAAAAAAATCGACTCAATTTTAAAACTATTTGCTTGCCTTAAGCAATAATGACTAAGGAATCACAGGTTCCATATATATATACACACACACACACACACACACACACACACATATAAACACACACATATATAGATATAAAATACATATTAAAATAAATATATAACTACATTTTTTTTGGAGACAGGATTTCACTCTGTCACCCAGGCTGGAGTGCAGTGGCACGCTCACGGCTCACTGCAGCCTCGACCTCCCAGGCTCAAGTGATCCTCCCATCTTAGCCTCTCTAGTAGCTGGGACCACGTGTGTGCCACCACGCCCGGTAGTTCTGGAGACTCAGCACCCAGAGGCTTTGAAGCTTCCATCTTCAGCCTGCTGGAATCGGAGCCCACCATGCCTGAAGAAACCCAGGAGGAAGGACCACATGAGAGGGAGGCCCCAGCGTGCCATCGAGGCAGCCCCAGCCCACCTGCTGGCTGAGCACAGCAGCGTGAGAGGGACTGCGGGAGACCAGCAACAGGCCCACCTGGCCAGCCCACAGAAATAATTCGTCAGTGTTGTTTTAAGCCACTAAGTTCTGGAGTGGCTTTTTACACAGTCAGAGACAACAAAAATTCTTTACCATTATCCAGGATAGTGAAGAATGGTTATAACCCACGACCCAGAAATTCCTCTCGTAGGTTTCCACCCCTGGGAAACGCACAAAGATGCTGATGGCAGCATCCTATGTAATGAGAAACAAAGCCCTAAAAGACTATCTAAAGAATGAGTAAATAAATTACGGTGCTGTCAAGTAGTAGAATATTATACAGTAGTGAAAATGAATGAACTACAGCTACTTGTATGAATATGGATACATTTTACAGACATAATGTTGGGTGGAAAAAGCAAGTTGCAAAAGAATCTGTACTAAAAAACACAATATAGGTAAATTTTAAAAAATGCTTAAAATACTCTACATTAAAGGTCAGCAAACTCCAGCCCACAGGCCAAATGTGATCTGCTGTTCATTTTTGTAAATAAAGTTTTTTGAGACATAAATAGCCATTCGTTTATGCTTTGTCTATGGCTGCTTTCATGATACAATGGCAGAGTCGAGTGGTTGAGATAGAGACTGTGTAGTCTGCTGAGACAAAAATATTTACTATGTGGCTCTTTATAGAAAAAGTTTGCTGATCTCTTCTACATAAAGAAGTGCGGGGGAATGATAAACATGAAATTTGGGGGCACAGGAATCTTTGAGAGGAAAGGAAGGCCAACTCCCTTTATTTTTTGAATTGAACGGTCAGTTCATAGGTGTTGTAGTGTTCCTCTACTATGTATGTCTTTAATATTGCATAATAAATTGAGAAAAAAATACTCAATACTCTGTCCTTGTCTCTAGTTTGCTCAATTGTGTTATTTCCTGCAGCTATTTAAACAAAGTAAATAGCACTATTTGCCAAGGAGCAATGAAAAAAGTTTCCTGACAAGATTCAACAAGGTTTGTCCAGACGATGAGCAAACACGGCTTGCTCAGGCACAGGCAGATATAAAGGGAAACGGCTTTTCATCCACCTGTTATTGTTCAGTGACATGGACATTCTGTGTGTGTGTGTGTGTGTGTGTGTGTGTGTGTGTGTGTGTGTGTGTGTGTGGCAGCCTCGCTTCTACTGGGACAGGTGACATTTGTTGAGCATTTCTCTTGGGGTGGGCCCTGGTGAGGAAGCCCTTCATCTAGATCAGGGTCATGGACCAAATCTGGTCCACTGCCCGTTTGTGTAAATAAAGTTTTATTGGAACGCAGATACACACATTAGTTTACATATGGTCTGGCTACTTTCATGCCACAATGGCAGAGCTGAGTAGTTGTGATAAAGATCACATGGATCACAAAGTAGAAAATATTTACGACCTGCACCTTTACAGAAGAAGTTAGCCAATCCCTGGTGTAGATGATCTCATTTAACTCCCCCAGCAATCATGAGAGGGGTAGACTTAGTATTACTCCCATTGTATGAATGTGAAAACTGAGGTTTAAGGAGGCGAGGCTGCTCCCTCAGAGTCTTGCAGCCTGCAACAGGCAAGGGCGGGATGTGAATCCGGGCAGCAGAGTTCCAGGACATGTGCTCTTATCATCTACACTGTATTACCCAGGAACAGATGCTCCAAAAGTAACTGAGACAGTAAAATAACTTTGCACCAAATTGATTTCCTTCTGATGCCATGTTTTGTCTGGGAACAGGGCTAGTTTTCTCTTTTATGTGAAAAAGAATATGGCTTCATTTTTCTTGGCTCTCAACCAAGCAGGGTAACTTATGTGTGATTGTATTCTAAGCCTTCTAGCACAGGAGGGGAAGAAAGTTAGAAAAGATGCCCACACCTGTTGGCCAAGGTCTGTCATAGGTAATCCCCCAGGATTTACAGAATGCACAGCCAGGCGTCGGAACCCCACGGGTGAGGGCTCGGGGTCCAGAGCCAGGCTACCCGGGCTTAATTCTACCTCTGCCACCAACCAGCTGGGTGACCTTGGGTAAATTATTTAACCTCTCTGAGTCTCTGTTTCTTTATCGCTCAAGGGAGGATAATGAGGTGACCTTCCTCGTAGGGTTGAGGTGGGGATTAAAGGAATTAGTGGAAATAAACCAATGTGAGTGACAGGAAGTCAACGATGGTGATGATTACTAAGCCTGGTCTGATGCCTCGACAGGACCTATCAATTCCGCCTCTAGAGTTGCTCTTGATTCTGTCTACATGTGTCTGTCCACTGCCATGGCCTCGCCCCAGGCCTCTAACACTTCCTGCTCCAGGCTTCATCTGTCTCCCAACCGGCCTTCCTGCTTCTCTTCCTGATTACATCTGAGCCAGACACACCACAGCAGCCAGTATGATCTTTAAAATCTAGGCTGGGCACGGTGGCTCATGCCTGTCATTGCAGCACTTTGGGAAGCAGAGATAGGAGGATTGCTTGAGGCCAGAAGTTCAAGACCAGCCTGGGCAACAAAGTGAGACCCTGTCTCTACAAAAAAAAATAAAAAATATTAGCCAGGGGAGGTAGTGAGTGCCTGTAGTCCCAGCTACTCATGAGGGTGAGGGAGGAGGATTGCTTGAGCCTGGGAGGTAGAGGGTGCAGTGAGCTATGATTGCACCATGGCACTCCAGCCTGGAAGACAGAGCCAGACTCTGTCTCTAAAAATAATAAAAATAAGAATAAAAATTTAAAAAAACCCACGTAAGTTGTATCCTACTACCCACTGCTTACAAACCCTCTAGTGGCTTCCTGTCTCACTTGGAACAGAACCCCAAATCTTTCCTGGGCCTTGGAGGCCACGCCCACCTCACTCACCTCATCTCCCATCGTGCTCCAGCCATTGGTCTTCTCAGAACTGCCAAGTTCCTCCCCATTCCCAGGGGCTGCCCCTCTGCCTGGATGCTCTCCTGTTTATGCCTGCACATGGCCCTCTCTCAGTTCTCAGCTGAATTCGTTCCTTATTTAAAGGCCTTTCCCGGCCCTAGAACCTAAAACAAGTCTCTGCTTCCTTTATGTCGTGCATGATAATTTGAAATTACACATACAGATTTAAAAATCTGGGGCCAGGTACAGCGTAGTTTCTTCCTGCCTCCTTTTCCTTTGTGAACCACCCCTTCCCCACCTTCAGATCAGTTGTTTTGGGTGAGGCTGACCTGACCCCTGGTTCTGTGGGTGGACATGTGGCCAAATATGGCCACCCACAGCACCTGTCTTCTTGGATGGATGTAGGAGTCCAGTAGAGAAATTCCTGGGACTCTGCGGGAAGTCCTAGACAGTGGGGGCTCTCTTTTTGGGGGGGCACTGCAACCTGAAACTTCCAGGGCTGTCTTTGCCACCACAGTGGGAGAGACTGCCTGAGCCTGAGGTCCACAGAAAGGGAAGCAGAGGCTGAGTCCTGATATCATTCCTTGAGGACCTGGACCCAGGCCTGCCTGAAGCCAGTGCCCTAGGTTTTTCCAGCTACATAGGCAATAAACTCTTGTTTCCTTCAGCTGATTAGCTTGGGTTTCTGTCACTTGCTACTAAAAGGGCTTTGGTTAAGATATCAGCTAGGAGGGGAGGGAACAGCATGACTCAAGGCCAGAGGCAAGGGCAGGTGGGCATGGACGGTGAGCCAGGTTTGCAAGTCTTCAGTTCTTAGCTGTAAGATGTGAACAGTCAAGGGTGGGAGGTCTGTTGTTTCTGCCCCGTCCCCCACCACATCCATTTCTCCTTCTCCCAATACGACCACTCTGTTTTCCTTTAAGAACACCAGCCCTCCTGCATAGACAATCCACAGGCTTCAGCTTCCTCATCTCCATCACCCTGTTCTCCTTGCCTTGCTATAAGCATCGTCACATGGCCCAATTTGGGCCAATGAGGGCCAATATGGGATTCTGTTGGAACTTCTGGGAAAGATGAGCTCTCCTTCCACTAGGCATTTGGAGCTAAAAGGATGCAAACCTTGAGTGGACAGGCTCCATCTTTGCTGTCATGCAGGGAGAACTTGCTGGGAGCATCTGAAGATGGAAAGAGACTTACTCCTCGTGATGACACTTTAGCACCTAGATCCAGCCATACCTGATGAGGGTTGTATCCACAGATCTCTCAGTATGCAAATCATTCAGTTCCGATTTTCCCTAAACCAGCTTAGGTTCAACTTCCAATTCTTGCCATCAAAAAGGGTCTTCATATTATAGTCTATAGAATTTGAACCATATTTATAGTGTTACTCTTTTCCCTTTATCTCTAATCCAGAATCAGGTTGGTTGTGTTTATCAATCCACATTTAGCTGAGACAATAGTACAGAACAAAGACCATGATTTGGGGACTGGAGGAGGAGAGTAAGGACTTGTTTGCTACTCACTGTAGGAAGGGATTCCATAGGCTTGTGCTGGAGGTGGGTAAGCTGTATAGGGGGTAGCCTGCTGGATCCCCGCACTGTACTGCGTCTGGCCGTAGGCTGCCATGGCTGTGGAAGGCTGGCTGGGGAGGACACGTGGGCAAGATCTGTGTGGAAAGAGAGAAGATTAAATCTCCAAGCCCAGTCTGGCACCCCTTCTTCCTTATCTTGATATCAACACCCCCATTTTTCTTTGGGGTTCTGCTCTTTCCAGAGCAGAGGCAACGTACATGTTCACCAAATTCCATTTCATTTTCCTCTTCCAGGGAAGCAGGAAGATTACATTTTCTGTCTCCTGTACAGTCAGATTCAGCTGTGTCACTGGGTTCAGCCCCATAGAATGTAAATAGATATGCTGTAAGCCACTCGCAGGCCTGGCCAATGAACACATCCCCTGCAACACTCCTGTCCTTTCTCCTCTTTTGACAGCAACTGTGGAGGGCACAGGTTAAGATGGCAGAGCCATAATATGGAAACACTCTGGATCCCTGAGTCAGCTTGTGCAGGAGAGAGAGCTGCCCTGGAGGGTTTCACCCCATCCACACTGGACTTCATGTGAGTAAGAAACAAACCTTTGTTGTGTGAAGACACTGAGATGTCAAGGTTTACTGATTACTGTAGCATAGCCTATCCTACCCCGATTGTCCTAATTTAGATACCTTCTCAATTGACTGCAGCTTTAACAGGGCTGTCAATCAAGATGTCTTGCTCTTAGCTAAGGGGTGGGGACATGATGCAAGATCCTCCAATCAGACTCTGTCTTGAGAATTTAAATCCTCCATATTGCTTGAATGCTGAATCTGTCCTATTCTTAATCTCTCTCAAGGCCTGATTATTTCATTTATGTTTTGAGCTACTCCAGATATTCCCCCAAAAGTTCTTTTAGACTTATATCAGCCAGAGTTGATTTCTGTTGCTTGCAACCAAAGACCACAAATGGGTTCTCTACTCCACGGAGAACAACAGGTTCTATAATGGGCTAGGATGTAGGGTTCCCTACTTAAGATATTTGTACTGTGGGTGCTGCCAAGCACTGTGTGTTTTTCACTAAGGGTTGGGAATTATGTCACATGCAACTGGTATGTACATTATATCTCACGGATGCTCTTATGAAATCCCTGGGGTGGAGGCTCTTATCTCTCCTGGTTTAGAGATGAGGAAACCAAAGCTCAGAGAGCTGAACACACAGCTACAAAGTGGTAAATATAGAGCTTAAACGAAGGAGTCTGACTGCAGAGCCCATGCTTGGAACCATGAATCTGCTATTTCTCACAGGACTGGGATTCATCCAGCCCTGCAGATAGCAATAAATAAAGTCCAGGTGAGTTGTTCAAACACAAAGGGAGCAAAATGGTGGCCTAGGGGCCACATCCAGTCCACAGATCCGTGGATATAATTTCTTTGGCCACTGAAGTTATTTTTTTTTCCCTAATTTGAAATTGTTGCTAATATTTGAAAACCAGGTTACACGCACACATACACACACACATGCACACACACGCAGGCATGCACACACACACGCTCGCTTTGTCTCCCTTCTCTTGAAAACCAGGTGCTTCAGCATACCTGGGTCTGCACTCCTGTGTGGTGCTATCAATAAGCTGGATTTGAGCAGCAGCCACTTCTTGAGACCGAATCACACCCTGTCTGCAACAATCCCTACAAGGGCCACTTCCCTTAGCGGTAAAGGTAGTCAATTCTCATGCCTACGTGCCAGGCACTGTCCTAGTTACTTCATGTGAATTGGCTCATTTAAACTCCACCACAACTGTGACAAGTCTTGGAGGTAATTTCTGTTTCTATCCCCATTTTACAGGTAAGAAGACAGAGGCAGAAAGGTGAATAACACGTCACAAGCACACGGCTGATACAGAATTTGAACCCTGGCTCCAGAGGCCACATCCTTAACCCCTCTGCTCTGCCATCCTCCCCCAGACACCACAACTATCATGAATCTAACTATCATAACCGGGTTAAGCGTACAGGTAAATGTTGATGAGATTCCCCAATCTGTGTCTGATTCCATTTTGGTTATGTGACATCACTTTCGTTAAAGCCTGTTTGCTTCCAGAGTTCTTCCTCCACCTGAGGCCTCATAGCAGGTGAATGCAAAAGTTTATGGAATTATAAACAGATGTCCCTTATCCCCGTCTTTCTTTTTGACTACTGCCATGATAAAGGGTTATTTGGGGGAACCTGTTGCAAAATGCATAAGAAACTCATTTGAGCTGGAGATGTCAGCCCCAGTCCTGGAAAGCGTCTCATTCATCAATATTTTGGCTCTCTGGGGCACTCAGAAGCATGCAACCTGCAGAGCAGACAGCCTTATTTGAAAATGTTCCCAATTCACATCCTTCCTTAGAAGAGAAATAGAAGCTGGAGACCCAAGCCGATCAACTCCTGCTTGCCATCAAAACCCATTCAAGTGGCTCAGATTAAACAGGGGCTCAAGTTAAAACCCAGAGGAAGGATGGTGGAGCTTTCTAACTCTGAGGCCTTAAAAAAGTTAGGTAGATTTAACAGTCCTTGGTTGCTACTAATACTCCCCAAAACATCTTCTGGAGGGAAAGGAAGGCAAAGAAAATGCCTTCCTTATCAACAGCTGCTCCAACGTTGGAGAAGAAGGATGATTTCCAGATGCTGAGGAGCTCACCACCTGGCCTGAGGGGCACCCAGGGCATGGCATGCAGCAGCGGGCTCAGGATGGCTGCTCCCAAGGGCAGCACCCAAAGGGCTCTGGGCAAGGCCATCCCAGCACTGAGCTCCCACTGCCCCAGCGTGTGCCTGTGGTGGAGCATTGACGGCACCAGGTTGAGATCTCTGATTTCCTGGTTTATCTCTCCCACTAGACTAGCTCTCCAGGGACAGAGACTGCATCTCATCCATCTCCGAGTTGCCAGGGCTCATGTGGGGTTAGGTACTGAGGAGTGATATGTGAGTGGTAGAGGAGGAAGAAAGCATGCATGCACGCGTATGTTCATTGCAGCACTATTTACAACAGCTAAGACATGGAATCATCCCAAATGCCCATCAATGACAGACTGGATAAAGAAAATGTGGTACATGTACACCATATGCAGCCATTTAAAAGGACATATGCAGCCATTTAAGAGGAACAAGATCATGTCCTTTGCAGGGATACAGATGAAGCTGGAAACCCTTATCCTCAGCAAACTAACACAGGAACAGAAAACCAAACACTGCATGTTCTCACTTATAAGTGGGAGCTGAACAATGAAAACACAAGGACACAGGGAGGGGTACAAACACACACTGTGGCCTGTTGGGGGAGGGCAGGGGACAGGGAGAGCATCACGAAGAATAGCTAATGCATGCGAGTTTAATACCTAGGTGATAGGTTGACAGGTGCAGCAAATCACCATGGCACATGTTTACCTATGTAACAAACCTGCATGTTCTGCATGTGTATACTGGAACTTAAAATAAAATAAAGAAATGATGAAAGCAGGAAGGGGAAAAAGGAGAGAGAGGTGGAGAGAAAAGGATGAGGGACAAAAGGGGAATGAAGAGAGGAAGGGAAAGAGAAAAAGGGAGACAGAAATAAGGATAGAAAGAAGGGAGCCTGTAATCTCAGCTACTTGTGAGGCCGAGGCAGAATTGCTTGAACCCGGTAGGCAGAGGTTGCAGTGAGCCGAGATTGTGCCACTGCACTCCAGCCTGGATGACAGAGCAAGACTCTGTGTTGGGGTTAGGGGGAAGGAAAGAAGGGAGGTTGAAAAGAAGGGAAAGGAAAGGAATGAGGAAAGGAGAGAGAAAGACGGGGAGGGGGGAAAGGAAGGAAGAAATTGAGAAATTTCCTATGCATGGGAAAGGAGAGGAAGGGGAGAAAGAAAAGAATTTTTAAAAAAGAATGAAGAGAAGAAAGAAGAAAATAATAGCTAAGACTCTGAGGACACTCTGCTCCAGGCCCCATTTTAAGTGTGTTTTACCTGCTTTTGCTGTTTGGTGGGGACAGGCAGCACGACTGTCCCCCTCTCCCAGATGGGACGGCTCAGGCCCAGGGAGGTGGAGTGACTTGCTCAAGCTCACTCAGCTAGGAAATGCTGCGGCTGGGATTCCTATTCAGGGAATCTGGCTCCAGGGCCCTTTCTCTCAACCTCTACCTTCCAAGAGAGAAGAAAAAGAGGGTGTGTGAGCAGGAGACAAGTGAATGGCACTCACCTGGAGAAGAGCTGGGACACTCTCAGGGGGGCTGATCTGGTGATGCCTGGAGAAAAAGAAAAATTGGAAAGGTTTTAGCGACTAGGGTGATGTTCTGCAGAGGTGGTGAGTTTAGACACCACTTAAGCAGGAGCAGACTTGGAGGGGTGCTGCCCATGGCTTTCTCCACCACAGATGCTTATCTGAGGTGCCACATCTCAGCACTCTTCTTCTTGAGGAGTTCAGAACCCTTTCTAGGTGCGCTTTGTCTCCGGGCAGTTAAGGAAAAATGACATATAAAGAATCCATAGCATTTTGAAACGCCAGAGTAGGGTCCATTTCTCCATCTATGTACAGATGGAGAAACTGAGACAGAAGGAACGTGCTTGGGCCAGGTCACATGACTAGGCAGCAGCACAGCTGGGAAGTGGAACAAGCCGGTGCCATTTCCACTCCTGGATGGAAAACCGCTCCCTTCCCTCCTCAAAAGCAACCCCCAAGAACCCCAGCATGGCAGACATCGGTTGGCTTTGCTCATCCAACATCCATTTCCCTTCTTCTAATGACATCGCTTTGATGTTCCTCCCCTGCCTCCTCACTTCCAGTCCCTGGGGTGCAGGTGCAGCTGGCCCCAACACTTTAGGGGAAGGAACCTCTTGGATCATCTCCTGAGCTCCACCTAGGGTGGTGGAGCAGAGAGATGGATGAGACTTGGGCTCCTGATGCAAGTACCTTACACCCAATCCCTCGGTATGCAATGTCCAATCATCGATGGGAGGCAATATGCAGGGGGTGATGAAAAGGTGACAGAGTTAAGCTGGGAGAGACATTTGCCAGAGGATAATTTCACATAGGGAGAGTGCACTGGGTAGTACTTTTGTGCTCCATCATCTTGAACAATGCAACTCAATGTCCTCACTGCAGAGTCCTGGACAAATTCTAGATAATGTGTGTACTGATGGCAACAGCGTCAACCTGCCAATGCCCACTCCCTGTTCTGTAGGGCAGCGGCCGTGTCATCATCGCACCCTAAGGCTGTGGCGCTCCGAGCCTGTCTCAGCCTCTGTGCTGGAGGCTCAGGAGACCAAAGTGCACTTCCAACTCTGCCACTTCCTAGTTATGAGACTTCAGGCAGGTTGCCTCGATCTCTGGGCCTCAGAGCTCCCCCGCTCTGCAATGGGGTTGAAAATACTTATCTTGCAAGGACAGGAGAGGATGAAATGAGATGATGCTGATAGCCATCATTTACCCAGTGCTTTTTACGTGCCAAGCTCTCTTCTAAATTCTTTACCTGGATTAATTATTTTAATCCTCATAACCACCCTACGAGAAAGGTTCTATTCGCATCCTCCGATGAACAGCTGTAGGCACAGAGAGCTTAAGTAACTCACCCAAGGCCACACAGGAAGTATAGCGTGGATCTGTGACCTGAACCCAGGTGGTCTGGCTCTAGAGTCTGTCTTCTCAACCATGACACTACAGCTGACAATGACAGTCATTGTCATAAGAGCAACTGGCATTCACTTAGAGGTTGACTATGTGCCAGGCCCTTGTTAACTGCATATAGACAGGTTCTCTCTGAGTCTTCACAACAGTGCTCTGAGCATGCAACGCCATTAACCCCATTGTACAGATGAAGAAACCAGGGCTCCAAAGGTCAAGTGCCTTGTTCAAGTCACACAGCCATGGGCAAGGGAACTGGGACTTGAACCCAAAAGTTGTGTGACTCCAAGGTCAACACTCTTAATTCCCTCCCTCTGGCTGAGCGAAATTCTGTTCAAGTCCCAAACCACTGGGGTCGGGGCGGGGGTGGTGGTCTTGAAGTTCATTTAGAGACTCATAACTGGAATTAAGAAAAGGAGAAGTGCCTATTTTATGATATACGATGGCAGCATGTATCGCCCATAGTAAGAAGGAATTGTGTAACACTTTTGTTGCAGGTACAGGTGTGAGAATGTGTTGTGTGTGCATGCGTGTGAGTTCAACAATGCAGAAATATATTTCGCATTATGTACCACATTCCAAGAAAAGGTTAGAACAGCAGCAGCCAAACGTCAAGGAAAGCCCCTGGCACACAGTAGGCGCTCACTCAATGCTGATTTCCCTACCCTGGGTTTGCTCCTAGGCGGGGTGTCCTGTACCCCATCACCCCTTCTTCCTCCTCCCGCAGGGTTCAAGAATGAACTGCCTCATTCTGAAGCAGTCACAGTCTCATTCCTGGTAAAAGCCCATGACTTGAGTGCATTTAGTACTGCATAAGTTACTGAATTAAACATTTTGAATGTTTTCTTTCATAAATATATAAATATTCATAAAAATCTAAATCTATGGGAACAACATTCCTATGGGCTCGAATTAACTCGGCATTCCATAAATTGGAGGCAAGCGTCTTTTCTGCCAATCTCCATGGCATGATTTGCATGTTTGCCTCGCCCAGCTCCTTTTCAAGCTTCCACCCAGTTCCTCTGAATTGTTGAGCAACCTGCCTTCCCCAGGCAGACAGGTTCCCCTCCCCCACTACGCAGACCTGTAATACTCTCCCTTTCCCACCCCAGCAACCTCAGGAAGACTGTGAAAGCGAGAAACAGGCATTTGGAAGTAGAGATTTTCCTCTGGCTATTGTGTGATTTTTGAAAAACACAGGCTTTTTTCCTGTTGTCTGCTGGTATCAATCACATTTAACCTTTTCATGCCAGGACACCCGGGGGAATTGAGAAACTGGAGAGTGAGTGCTCCATGTGGAATGATCTTCTTCCTCCCTTTCTGCTTCCTTTCTCCATGGCTAGGGTGGTGTGGACTTCATTGATCATCTTTATCATTAATACACATGACAAGGCAGGGCTCTCTAGGCTCCTTCCCTGCTTTGGGAGCCTTGGACGGGACAGTGTCAAGGGTGGAGATTCTTTTCTTTGGCACAGAGGTGGGCAGGGACTGCCCAGGAGCAGAGAATGCCTTTCTTCTTCTTGTGCACTTGCTGGTGGTCCAGAGCTCTTAGTCCTCAGAGGTCACGTGGACCAGGAAGTCCACCCTGCAGGTGTTGTAGCCAAACGTCCACACAGTACCAGGAAGTAGGCTTGACCAACTGGTGGTTGTGGGCAACGCCAGCCCCGGTGCGACAGGTGGAGGAGTGGGCATCACTGTCACAGCTGCAAGCAACAACGTGGTCTTCAGTGTAGCCCAGAATTTCTTTCAATGACCCCCAGGTGCCTGCATCACCATTTTCTTGATGTCCCTGTGCTCAATAGCTTTTTCTAGATGGCAGGTCAGATCCTGGACAGACACACTGAGGGTGGGGACACAGGAGGCTGTGTCAGCAAGCTGCCCATTCAGCTCATGAATGACCTTGCCACAGCCTTGGCAGTGCCACTGAATACACTCTGAGCAGTCTCATGGCCATCGCACCACAGCTTGCCAGAGGGACAGAGAGGGCACAGGCAGTGGTCATGAGTACCTTTATGATGCCATGGTTGTCATAGATCCTTTTGGGGGGACAAGCAGATGGCTTGCTGGAAATCTAGAGGGAGTAGGTCACCCCCATCTCGAACACAGGCCATCAGCACAAGGGACAGAGATGATGCCGCTTTGATACCACTCTTCAGGTGAGCCCCAAGCATCTCTAGGGTGATGAAGGCAACTTCTTCAGTGGCAGCAATGCCCCCTTTGGAATGTGGTGCCTGGCAGATGGAGATGGACTTCCCACTGATCATAGCTTTCTGCTCTCAACCTTGTTGGTGCCATTGAACTTGCCATGATGGATTCATATTGGACCATGTATGCTATGAGGTCAAGGTCAATGGAGGAGTCATTGATGGCAACTTTGATCCACTTTGCTGGTAGTGAAAGCAGCTCTAATGACCTGGCGCCCAACAGAACCAAATCTGTTTTACTCTGAGCTTTGCCCCTTCTTCATCCTCCCCCAAGGCTTGAGAATGGACCCACAGGATGAAGGGGCTGTGGCTGATGCATAATGGGCTAGCTGGCTGCCAAGTAGGGAGGACAGAGTGCCTCCTCTATTTCCTTCTGAATTTTAAACTCTAAGCCTCCTCTTCTTCCCAAGCTTCCTCGGGGTGAGGAGAGAGGGATCAGCTGAGCAGATGGCCACAGCCTCTGGGCTGAGCTCATCCATTCATTCATTCAGTGCCAGGCATGAGTTCAGAACTGGGTTACAATAGTGAGTGTAATCCCCAGTGTTGGAGGAGGGGCCTGGTGGGAGAGGACTGAATCATGGGGATGGATTTTCCCGTAGCTTCATGTTCTCATGATAGTGAGTGAGTTCTATCATGTTCTCATGATAGTGAGTTCTCACAAAATCTGGTTGTTTAAGTGTGTGGCACCTGCCACCCCCCTGTCTTCCTCCTGCTCCAGCCATGGAAGATGAGCCTGCTTCCCCTTCACCTTCCACTATGATTGTAAGTTTCCTGAGGCCGGAACTGTAAGCCAGTTAAAAGTCTTTTCTTTATAAATCACCCAGTTTCAGGTATTTCTTTATGGTAGTGCGAGAATGGACTAATACTGTGAGCCAAGGCAGTCAGGGTCCCTGTCTTGATGGAGCTGAAGCCTCCTGTCTAGTGAGTGAGATGGATGACAAACAAATAATCACACAAATGAGTACTTAACTGCAATTATAACAAGGTGCAAAGGAAGCAATGGACATTGGAGACCAGCGCACCTGGAACCAGGATTCACCTGGGGATCTTATTAAAACACAGGCTCTGATTGTTGGTCAAGGAAGCCTCCAGGTGATGCTGATGCTGCAGGTTCACAGACCACATTTTGAGGAGAGTTTAGACCACTGGCTAATACAAAATTACACATCACTGAGCATTATCACAATGTGGGGTTCATTAAAAGAAATCTCCATTTCAGAAGACACAAACTCAAGTGCGTATTGGGGCCACGAAGACAATATAAATGTGCAAAGCAAAAGATCCAGTTTTAAGAGAGGAAATTAAAGCTTCAGTCTGTGTGTACTGAGTGCACACTATGTGCAATTGTGTATGTGAGTGACTGTGTGGAGCAACTTACCCGAGGACACACATTCATTCATGCAGTCAACAAATGTTTATC